AGAGTATTTGGTGCAACGGATTTATAAGGGTGGGTGTGGTGGGTCAAGTACGATGAAGCCAGATCGTAATCGATCGGCAATGAAGAGAACAAGTGAACAAGACAAGCGAAGTAAGAAAGCAGATAAAGAATTTAAAATCTGGAAAAATTTATTAAATTAGTACTAGAAGGAAAAACCAATGTTTCTATATTTAGGTGAATAAGCTTTCATAAATGTAATGCGTATTAGTAATTTATCGAATCCGACTAGTAGCGTAGCAATTTCGACTGCACTGCGCAATATTTTACTTTGATAATATACCAAAAAAGTACAAAGTAGTGATTTAATCTTAAATAACGGCGTGTATGCTAGACTCCATCTCCGAATGCAATAATTTACACAAAATAATGCAGTACTAAAGTTTGTATACCAAAATATTTTGGTTGCAAAATACTTTTAGTAATCCTATCGTGCTGAGACATTGTAAATTATATTGCACTATTGCATTAAAAAAATTCATTGATTTTTTTTCTTAGATAAAAATAAACGTAATAAATAACATACTTTAAATAAATTTTCTAACAAATCAAAAATGCTACCAAAATATAGCTATTTTAGGCAGACAAGCTTATGCAGTGAAACTATAGTTGTTGATATTGGAATAATATTCGGAAACAATACATAACAGATAAACATCACACCAAATTTTATATGACACGTATGTAGCTATTTCTGACTTCCAAATATTTGTACTGTACCTATAATTAAAACTAATTGAGGATACAAGTAAAAATTATGCATATCCTATATTGATCACGTAAACATACAATAAATATGAAGTAAGAAGAGAATAAACTAAAGATTGACTATATTCTTTCATAGTTAATCTCGGTCTATAACGAATTTTTGTTTAACAATGCTGCAAGTTTATCATAAAAATCACCAAATATCAAGGGTGCTGTCACAAAAAATAAATCGACTTTAACTGCATTAACGCAATTTAATCGAGAGTAATATCGCCATCCGAGAAATCTAGAAAGTCATGGAATAAATCACACGATACATACGGTAATTGTAATTCTACAAATTGTAAAGGTTGTGTTTTTTTTTTATTATGTATGTAGTTAAACAATAAAGTTTAAAAGCTAATAAATAAAAATACTGATTAAGATTTGTACCTAGAGATGGGCAAATTGAAAAATCCCGCGCGTCACGCGCGGATCACGCGCGTGATACGCATCCCGCGCGGGATTCTTAATTTTTTGTGTCTAACAAAAAACATGCAGAAATTTTTGTTGAAAGTCAATTTTCTTGTTCTATGTAAATTTTTGAAATAGCGGCATGGGCGTTACTCCGAAATTCGGCCCGAATTAAGCTTAATGCGGGCCAAAATTCGAAAAATTATGGTAAGTTACCTGTAAATTACCGTAAGTTACCATTTAAATGAGCATTTGGGGTACAACTAACAACCCTGCCATGCTCGCTATTTCGAGTATTTAGGTAAATATGTTAATGCGAGCCAGATATTATATTAATGCGGCCAGATTATGTGGTAATGCCGGCCAGGTAATTTTATTTGGGTCATATTAAAAATCCCGCGCGGGATTACGCGCGGAACCCGCGCGTGCCCATCTCTACTTGTACCACATTAAAAAATAGCTGTACACAAAACTAATAGTAAAAAATTAAGAAAGTTCAGCAGGGAGAATAAAAAACACTAAATTTTTCAAACACCCCTGCTTATACATTTAGTGAATACCTTCAATTGTGTTGTTAATACCAAAAGCATTAGTTAAATATGATACTAGGTATGTCTGAAGTTATAGATACTGACACGAGCAACGTCGCTCCACAATCAAGAACCTCGTGTAGCCTACGAACGGCTTAGTCGATAAGAGATGGGCAAGTTGGTGTATGCCGTGAGTAAGAGTAAGCCTTTCTTTTCTCTTGCTTGGGGCCTCTATTAAGCCTTAAAATCACACACTAACGCTATTCTTCATTGTTATTAAAACACGGTTTGATTTCTTCCACTTGAAATTCAGGACAGGAATAAGGCAAACAGCCATAATTATCTACAGTATGTCCGGACAAACTATCACAGCAGTCCTCAGTGTATCGAGAAGCAGCTGGACAGAATAACAAGGATATCACGCGAACAAGAATCTATGCCACTTATTAGTAGATTGGATAAATTTTATGTAATTATAGAGAATGTGTGTAGTTGTTAGAGGACGATTTATTATGGATTAGGAAGGACAAACATATATAATATTAAAAATTATCATTCGTGATTAATCTGCTTAAGTGATTATAATAAATCTACACTTTAAAGGGAGGTTCATTTTTACTATTGGGAAGCCACATTTTAGATAAATGATCTAGTTCATTAATTCTAGCAGCCGAGCCAATTTTACTATGGCAGATTCTTGATTTTGATTGGCTAAAAATATGCTTGGGTTCAGTCGGTCATCGGTCGGTTATTGTCCAGAGCGAAGCGGAGGACATTCTGTCGGCAGTGATCATCATTACCACGTGTTCAATTTTTCTCGATGATGATTGGTTGAATGCACTGTATGATAATCCTATGTTACACTAAGGTCATTTTTTTAGCTTCGGACACACACAATGCTACTCATTCTCCTAGTTGGTACAACGCTATTATCAGCTGGACAACCATTGTTATAACTGCAGTTAATCGGTTATTGACAATTACTGTATAACCATTTAGTGACTGGTTTTTATCTAAAATTTTCAAAACTCTACTAATACAGGATATTTTTTTTAATTTATAGGTGACTTTATTTTATTAAGAGCTCAAAAAGTAGTTTTATAAGTAATAATTTTACACATAAAACCCGAAAAATTATGTTTTACTGAATAATTTTTTAAATTATGAATCCTCAAAAATTTGTACGCTGTAACTACCGGGTAGAAATATTATCACAGCTGATGCTGAAATTTTGGGTCTCTATTTAGAACTATAAAACCTACTAAAACCCATCAATACACTTTAATTAATAAACCTGGCCCTAAACTCTACTCAAACTATTATGTGAAGACTAAAAAAATGCACCCCAAAAAATTGTAAAAATTTAATAATAAAATAGTCAAAATTTCAGCATCAGCTGCGACAATAATAAATTTGTTACTAATCCACAAACGATAGTTAACAAAATTAGGAATTCAAAGATAAGCATGTACGTGGGTTTGGCAAATGATATTATACTCAATACGGAAACTGTTACTAAATCTAACTTATTTCTTTATTAGGATTGGATTTTGATTAAGATAAGTAAAACTACAAATACAATTGTGCAAATAATACTAACTAATACTAACATTACACTATTATCGTTATTCAGATAAATTACTAAAGAGACATTAAAGGGAATTATTTACTAATTCTAAGTGTAATTCGACTTATCCAACTAAACGTACCAGCAAGATCATGTCTTAAGCAGACCCACTATTAGTACTTCTAAATGGGATGCTCTTTTGGACAACCCATCCATCCGAGCTGGAATATCCTTTTATACTTTCTCAACCACCTTGATAGTTAAATACTTTTCCACGATAGTTATTAACTCTTGCCGTTAATTCTTTACTTTCCGAGTGTTCATTTTCTATAACCCTGAACCAGATATTCAATATAGTCTACCCTATATCGATAAACCCCGTGACAAGTAAAACAAAACTTTACTTCACTAATCTTATTATTATTTTTTTTCCACTGTTATCTTTAATTTCATTTTTTTTTCGAGAATTGTTTTATTATGGGGTTTAAACATCGTTCGTTTCGTTTTATTTCTGACAGCATTTCGCAGTCTGGTTATTATTACTCTTTAAAAAAATTTTTATGTCATTATAAATTAATATATATGGGAATTTACAAGTGAAGACCAGCAATTCTAAAAATAGGTTATGAAATTCATGCAATGATATTTGTTGTATTTTTAGAATTACTGGTTTCGTATCAGACAATTACGATAAACATTTATTTGATAGGTGGTACGTACGATTATATCATGATTTGCGTGATCACAATATTTTGGTTGTGAGGTGGCTTGGCCTCTGCCAAATACAGTCGTTGGCGCGGAATTAAACTTTGGGTCATAAAATGACAATTGATTTGTCATTTGCATTGTAATGCCTAATATGGAAATACGTCTCCTTTTTTATTGATCAATTTTTGTTTTCTTGTGTTACGAGATCGGTTTGCCGCATCGGCAAACCGGGTTTGGGGATCGACGAACTATTGGAACTGGTTTATTGAAATTATTAACAATTGGGACTAGTAATTGATAATTAGTAACTATCAGTGAAAGTAAAGAATTAACGGCAAGAGTTAATAACTATCGTGGAAAAGTATTTAACTATCAAGGTGG